CAACAGTTCTTATGAATGCACATTATACAAATTCATATTTATTCAACAATCTAACTATTATCATTCTCTTAAATAAATTTATTGGGCCAGCATTTTTATAAACACTTTCCAGATTATTCCACAGTCTTTTTCCTTGGACATCGGTCCTTCAAATTTGTTTGGATTTTGGGCTTTACAAACATCTCTATACCCTTAAGGTTATAACTACTTACTCTCTTAACAAAATTTAATTGAATATTTAGAGGTAATAAATTTTTATGAGCTTTATAAATAACTTGCAAAATATTATTATCAACCAGCTCATAAAATTTCAATAATTTCAACTGACAAAATAATATATTTATGGTGCCTATAATGTTTTCTGGTGATAATTCTTACGGCTTTTTTCTGTAAAGTAAAGATGGGATTTGTAATTGTTTTACATGCTTTCCCCCAGACTTCAATACAATAAATTAAGTGTGGAACAATTATTGCATTATATAACATAAACAGAGCTTTGTCATTAAATAAGTCCCTTACTTTATACAATATTGGAATGGATTTGGCTATTTTTGTTCTTAAGTGATTCATGTGGGATTTCCATGTCAGCTTTTCATGAATAATAACACCCAAAAACTTCACTTCATTGACTGTACAGATTTCAACATCATCAACTTGAAAAGGAAAATCAATAGCTCTGTTTCTATTACTGAATATCATATAATTAGTTTTATTCAAATTTAATGATAATTTATTTAATTTAAACCAAGTTTGTATTTTAACAAATTCTGTTTGTATCATCCCCATCGTTCGTTCTATATTCGTTCTATAATATCTACATGAATATTAAAATTCCCCATAACTTTATCAGTATTTAATAATAAATCAGACAAGAATTCAGAAAATTCAGATAAAAACTGGGAATAAGGGCCTGGTGGACGATAAATAACAGTAAGTGGTAGAGATTTTTCTGATTTCCATTTTGGCTGAGAAAGACTGAGGGACAAAGACTCACACAAATTATAACTAATATTTGATTTAGCATTAATTGATAATTCTAACTGATAAGCAAATCCTCCCCCATGACCTGATGCTCTAGGAACATGAAAATGTAAATAATTAGCAGGAGTGGATTCTTTTATACTAACAAAATCCTCCTGTTGTAACCAGGTTTCAGTAAGACAGAATAAGTCAATATGAGTTAGATTAAAATAGAACCAGCGCTCATGAGACAAAACAAAAAGTATTAACTAACCTGTCTTACACCAGCAGAATCCAGCTGCTGAGGTAAGGAGTGTTTGCGTTGATCAGGCATCTCTGCTACTTCACTGCTACCCATGCAACTCTGCACAAATAACTCATCATTCTCACCAACTGATTCCAGGAAACTGATCCCACCTGAGAAAGAACAGAACAGATAACATTTTGCAAAGACATAGCAATGTCACATTTTGTAATTTCATCCAGGTAGAAAAATAAAAAAATAGTAATAAGTAGGTCCTCGGGACGAGTTCTTTAATGGAATGTTTTGTCTCTCCAAGGGACTTCGTCAGCCTGAGGAGTTTCAGGTAAACTCAGTCTTACAAGCACTGTCTCCTCATGGTGGACAAACAAGTTTAATGATGACAATCAAAATTGTTATTCATGCAAAAGAGGACCATCAACCTAACAATACAGGATGGGCCATTTATGTAGCTACACCTAAATAAAATGGCAATGGTTGGTGATATTAAATTCCTGTTTGTGGCTCATTAGTATTTTGGAGGGAGGAAACTTTTCAAGATGGGTGGTGACCACTGGCAGCCATTTTGAAGTCAGCCATTTTGGATCCAACTTTAGTTTTTTCAATGGGAAGAGGGTCATGTGACACATCAAACGTACAGAAAATTTCACAAGAAAAACAATGGTATGCTTGGTTTTAACATAAATCAATTCTTTCATGAGTTATTTACTGATCACTTATAAAATGTGCTCAAAGTGCTACCCATTGTGTTGGATTGTCAATGCATTGAAATCTGCATTGAAATGGTTGACTTCTCCCACTCTTCACACTGATAACAACAGCGCAGAAGAAATTCTAGCACAGGCTTCCAGTATCTGTTGTTTCAGGTGCTGCACATCTCGTATCTTCACAGCATAGATGATTGCCTTCAGATGAACCCAAAGATAAAAGTCTAAGGGGGTCAGATCGGGAGACCTTGGGGGCCATTCAACTGGCCCACGATGACCAATCCACTTTCCAGAAAACTGTTCATCTAGGAATGCTTGGACCTGACACCCATAATGTGGTAGTGCACCATCTTGCTAGAAAAACTCAGGGAATGTGCCATCTTCAGTGCATAAAGAGGGAAACACATCATCATGTAGCAATTTCATATATCCAGTGGCCTTGATGTTTCTATTGATGAAGAATGTCCCCACTATCTTTGTACCCTATGTACCACACCATACCATCAGTTTTTGTGTTCCAACAGTCTTGGAGGGATCTATCCAATATGTGTTTTTGTCAGACCAATAGCAGTGGTTTTGTTTGTCAACTTCACTATTCACAAAAAGGTTTGCCTCATCATTGAACAAAATGTTCTGTGTAAACTGAGGGTCCTGTTCCAATTTTTGTTTTGCCCATTCTGCAAATTCAGTGTGCCGATCTGGGTCATTCTCGTGTGCTGCAACAGCTTTGTAAGTGTGCCATTTGTGAGTAGCCAATATCCGCCAAAGGGATGTTCGACTGATGAAAACTGCTAGAGCAAATTATTTTTCTGATATTATTGACGCTAACTCTCACAACCTTCGTGTTCTTTATAAAACAATCAATACTGGTCTTAGTGCATGAGCTGATTCCTCTGGTAGCATTCAGAGAACTTTGTGATAAGTTTCTTAATTTTTTTTTCAGAACAACGTTTTTAATATTAGGGCTTGTATTTCTCCTTATAATTCCTCCATTCTGGTCCCCTGTCCTGCTGTAATTGATCAATTGGACCCCATTTCTATCTCTGATTTGGCAAAACGGGATGTTATGGTCTAAAAGCAGGTGTTTCAGGTTTTTTTGTCTAACCCCTGTATTCAGATTTTCTGTCTGTTGTCTGTCTGTCTTTGCCTTCTGGCTAAGCTTCCGCTTCACCACAACAGACCGGTACAGCGCCCGCATCACTGCAGATGCAGCACCAATCCGCCTGTCAACCTCCCACTCCATTCTTCCCTCATTCATGAACAAGACCCCGAGATACTTAAAACTCCTCCATTTAGGGCAGGACCTCCTCCCCAACTCGGAGACGGCATGCTACCCTTTTCTGGCTCAAGACCATGGGCACGGATTTGGAGGCACTGATCCTCATCCTGGCCACTTCACACTCGGCTGTGAACCGCTCCAGTGAGAGCTGGAGATCACAATCTGATGAAGCCAATAGGACCACATCATCCACAAAAAGCAGAGATGTGATGCTAAGGTCACCAAAAAGGATCCCCTCAACACCTTGGCTGCACCTAGAAATTCTGTCCATAAAAGTTATGAACAGAATGGGTGACAAAGGGCAACCTTGGCGGAGTCCAACTCTCACTGGAAACAAGTCAGACTTACTACCGGCAATGCAGACCAAGCTCTGACAGCGGTCGCAGGGACCTAACAGCCCGTATCAATGGGCCTGGTCATTAACATCAAGTCATTAACAATAAAATAAATTGAAATATCTTTAAAATAAATAACTTTCGCCCAAATACAGAACCTCGTGGAACTCCACATTTGATATTACAGAGCTCAGATCTTACATCTTTTATTTGTACAAACTGTTTCCTGTTTTTTAGACAGTAGACACCCAATGTAGTTCTGGACCTCTTAAAAGGATCCACGATTAGTTGTAACATTTGTTAAACATTTATTTTAACTGTAAAATAAAGACTGTAAAAATACTGTAGGCTGTTTAGTTTTGTAAATTTTTTTAAATAAATTTTAACACGGACGGAGCAATTTATTTACATGCAAAGCATTCTGGGTAAATGATGACATCAACTAGGTCATTGGTGTGAGGCTGCTAGTGAGCTATATCCACCCTGAAGGTTAATCTTGGACAATATTTGACGATTGGCTCTTTTAAATGAAACCAGAGAGCGTTGACAGAGAGGAGAAGGTAGAAATGACTCAGCCTGGAACTGAAAATATGGATGGAGGACAACAGAGCTGCTTTATGGAAGAAAAACCTCAGCTTAGCCTGTTAGCCTTTGCGCTAGCGCCCACGCTATATTGCCTTATGTATTAGCTCAGCGCTAGCGCGACAAGCAAGCTAAACTGAGGTCCTCCATCCATATTTTCAGTTGCAGACTGCGTCATATTTGTGTTCCCCTCTCTGTCATGTGGATGGAGGACCTCAGTGATGAGAAGAGAATGTGTAGCGCTGAGCTAATACATATATATGGTGATAGCGTCGGGGCTAACATTAAAGCTAACAGGCTAAGCTGAGGTTCTTCTTCCATGAAGCAGCTCTATGAATATTTTCAGTTACAGGCTGAGTAACAACAACAACAGCAGTTCAAACTTTAAACTGCTTGTGAAAAATGGGGGTCTGTAACATTAAAACATGCATGGTACTGCAACTGTATCATGTTTATCTTCTCATCGGTTTCCTCCTCATCGCCTTCATGTTGCGCAGCTCCGTGCTGCCTTCAGGAGAACAGGACATCAGAGTATCATCTATAAAATTCCCACCACATGGCATTTACTAATCTGGAAAATGAACGGTTTGTTTCATGGTAATCCGGTGAGGAATTTATTTATCTGAAATTGGAGGATTATGATACAATCCGTATATGTACTCTCTGTGCCCCTCCCTTTTTTCAACCTTTACAACTGTCTAATCTGCTATTAAGATGCGGTAACGCGTTGTTCCGAGCTGTCTTTAAACGCACCATGAGACAACACGGGTGAATAAACCTGTGGATCACAGAGGGGTCAGACACAGTTGCGGACTGGCTGTCTGTGAGTTCTGGATGATCACAGGACAGCCGGTGTTCTGTCGGGTCAGGGGGCTGCAAAAGTGCTGCTGGGTACCAACCAAGGAGGTCCTATAGAACTGCTGGAGTGCGCAAAGACCACGTGACCGTGTGATCGGCTGGAGAAGCTAATGGCTAACGCTAAATGGGCAAGAGTCTGGATTTCCCCATGGCAGTACAATGTTGACAACAGAGAAGAAAAAAAGGACTGACGATGTAGAAATCATAAAAACTATTAATAATAATATTAACCCAATTATTATTAATATTTTACAGTTTATATAATCAATCTAATGTTTTAAATAATGTCAGAAAAGCTGTTTGTGTTATGGATTTATTAACAGAAGTTAAACAGGAAAACGTCTCATTTTACAACACAAGTCAGCAGATTTGATCTTATTTAGCTCAATGTGATCTGAGCAGAATATAATGTAGCAGTTTACTACTAGTTTAGTACTAGCTGAAGTCATCATTTTTCAACTAGCTAAAGTCTAAGTTACAGGCTGACTTCAGGTCTGGTTTAGATCATTGTTGCTTATAAATTATATATTTTTCTGGTATAAATCTGCCGTTTTACATGATTGTTGAATGAAATTAACATAATTATTAATTTATTGTAAAAACATGACAGATAATCTGTGAAACAGATACGGTTCAGCTTGCTGTTTATCTATTAGTTTCTATGGAGGCTGTGAGCTGTTGCCCTTTTAGACGCCATTTTTGCTCCTCCATGCTGTCACAGACGCTACCAGTGGACGGTATGGGTGGGGCTCAGTCTAGTGATATTTAAGTCTATGGTACCAACACAGCTGGTGAAATAACGTTCAATTTGAGCGGCCCCTTCCACATTTAAAACAGAAAGAAGGTGAGCTGGAAAAATTAGCAAATGTTAAAAAGAAAGGTGAACGAAGAAACAGGGGGTAGTGCAAGATGCAGCCAAATGTGCTAAATATATATTTTCTATGATGGAAGGACCGAGGTCAGCATGACAAATCAGCCGGGCCAGTGATGACACGAACCTGGACACAAACCCAGCAGCGATAGATCCAGGTTAGCAGCTACACATGATCCTTCATCCCAGACTTGGTTTATGAGTTAAAATTACTTAATAATGACCTGATTTTTATGAAAAGCTGCTTTTAAATAATCTTTTAGGAACTTTAGTAATTTATTTGTAGGTTGTATGATGTCATGTTAGTTTTGGTTATGAATAGGCCCATCAGTAAATTTAGGTGATTATCATAACTACACCTGTTTAATTACATGGAAAAGGCCAGGGACACTGGTCGTGGAGGTGGTCTGGCAGTTATTTATCACACAGATCTGAAACTGTCCCGTCTTCTCCTGCCCACGCTGTCCACCTTTGAATGTCTTTCATTCAAATGTATGTCAAAAACGCCAACAGTAATACTACTTATTTACCATCCTCCCAAATATAATTCAGGCTTCATTACAGAATTGCAGGACCAACTGACATCTTCCTTTGCAACAACATCCAATGTAATAATACTTGGAGATTTTAACATCCATGTGGACTCACCTAAAAGTCAACTTACTGCAGAGTTTCTGGAGCTTTTGGAGTGCACCCATCTGAAGCAGCATGTTGATGTGCCCACACATGCCAAGGAACATACATTCGACCTGGTCATTACTGACTCTGTTCCCATAACCAATCTCTGTGTTTATGACATGGGTGTCTCTGATCATAAAGCGATTTCCATGGAACCGACTTTAACGCGTTTACACTCTAAGCCAAAACGCTTAATCTAATTCAGAAACCTGAAGAATATCAACTCCGCCGCTTTCAGTCTGGATATGAAAGAACTGTCGACTTTTACACATTTTACATCACTCAGTGACTCTGCTGACTATATAATGCTGGCCTTCATAACATTCTTGAGTCCCATGCCCCACTTAAGTCAAGAACAGTTTCTTTTACCAGATCAGCTCCGTGGTTCACTGATGAGCTGCGGAAAATGAAGACAGCCGGACGTGCCCTTGAGCGATGATACATCTCTACAGGCCTTGTAGTCCATAAGCAAGCTTACTGTGACCATCAAAAGGACTACTCTAAAGCTCTGTCTACAGCTAGGTCACAATTCTACTCTCACATAATTAGTAATACTTCTGGAAATTCAAAACAGCTGTTTTCTACAATAAGTCACCTATTGAAATATCAAACTCACACATGTAGTGATCACACTGAGAAACAATGTGACAGGTTCATGACATTTTTCACTAATAAGGTACAATCTATCCATTCTACCTTTCCTTCACAGTCCTTGCCTCCATCAGTGATACAGACTTTAGAGCCTATGACCATATTCTCTCAGTTCACTGATACCACACAGAGAGAGGTGGAGGGACACATCCAAAAATTGAGGCCCTCCACGTGTGCACTTGATCCCCTCCCAACATCTTTAATAAAAGAAAATATTTCAGTCATTAGTCTACTGATTACGGCAATAATAAATAAGTCACTGCAAACTGGCCAAGTTCCTCCAGTCCTAAATTCTGCTCTCATCCGTCCTCATTTGAAAAAACCCTCACTAGATCCTGAGAACCTAGGTAATTACAGACCCATCTCCAACTTGCCATTTCTCTCCAAGGTTCTGTAAAAAGTTGTTCTAGCCCAGCTTCATCACAATCTTCATACACACAGTCTGTATGAGACCTTTTAATCTGGTTTTCGTTCTGCACATAGCACAGAGACAGCCCTGGTCAGAGTTACTAATGATGGCTGCTGACCAGGGCTCTCCGTCGCTTCTTATACTTTTAGATCTCTCTGCCACTTTTGACACTGTGGATCATATTCTCCTTAAACAACTTCATACCACAGCTGGACTTTCCGGGACCATCCTCCAATGGTTCTAGTCATATCTTACTGACAGAACTGAGAATGTGGCTCTGGGGGAGTCGAGGACGTCTCCCCACACTGTCACCTGTGGGGTTCCACAGAGATCAGTACTCGGACCAGCTCTATTCACTGTTTATATTCTCCCCCTTGGCCACATCATTAGGAAACGGGATATCATTTCACTCTTATGCAGATGACACTCAGCTTTACTTAAAAACAGACCCCATCTCTATCCCAACTACATTATCAGCTCTTACTGCATGCCTGGAGGAGACAAAGCAATGGATGTCAGAACATTTTCTTCAGTTAAATAGTGACAAAACAGAAGCCATATTCCTTGGAACTCCACAGCAGATCCAGACATCTTCCATCAGTGATATCTCTGTCCTTGGCCACAGCATTCCCCTTTCTTCTTCTGTCACAAATCTAGGTGTCAAATTTGACCCATATCTAACATTTGACAATCATATTCGCCACCTTTCTAAAGTTTCTTTTTTCCATCTCAGAAATATAGCAAAACTTTGCCCCTTCCTTTCCCAATTGGACGCTGAAAAACTAGTCCGTTCCTTTGTTTCATCCAGGCTCGACTATTGTAATTCCCTCCTCACCGGGATCTCTCACAGAAGCCTGCAGAAGCTCCAACAGATACAGAACTGTGCTGCCAGGATCCTGATGAGGATGCGCAATTATGATCATATTACACATGTCCTACAAACTCTACATTGGTTGCCCATCTACTATAGAATCCAGTACAAAGTTTGTCTTCTTACTTACCAATGTCTCCATGGGAATGCTCCATTTTGTCTTAAAGAACTTCTTATCCCATATAATACCTCAAGGCATCTCCGTTCATCTAACACTGCCTTCAACAGCCTCAGACCAAACTCTGCACAATGGGAGACCGAGCTTTTCAAGCTGCTGCCCCTTGTCAGTGGAATACACTCCGAGACATCCTGAGGGCACCACAGAGCGTGGAGTCTTTTAAAACACAACTTAAAACCTTTTTATTTAGAAAGGCCTACTAAGACATTAATGTACCCCTACTGCCTTGTGTAGGTTGTTTTTACTAAGTTGTTTTATTGTTTGTTTTTGATCTTGTATTTTATGCTATTGCAGTTTAGAGATTTCTTGAAATGTAAAATTACTCCCTACTGCTTGTTTATGTGTTAGTATTCATGCTGTTTTTATTAAGTTGATTTTTGGTTGTTTCTAATTTTATCTTTTGCTGTAACACTTTGAGATTTCCTCGAAATGTAAAATGCATTACAAATAAAATGTATTATTATTATTTATTAATATATTAGTAAAATTATTAATATTCTTATTTTAAACATGTAGTTGAGTCAGCACTGCTTGGAAACAATATCATGTGTTACAAACAAATCAAGAATTTAAAAAAGTAAAATGGAACTCTAAACTCGTTTGATAAATTATCACATTAATTTCCTCATCTTGGCCAGCGGTGAGTTTAAAACCAGGATGATTCATACATGGACCAGTTGATGAACCTGTCTCTAAAATATTTATGGAATCAAGTATTTATTTATGTAGGTAAAAATATGTTTAGCAACCTGTTAAAATACTCCAGAATGCAGGAAACAGCATCTAATTTCATCAAAAGTCCCTGGGGGAGAACCCCCTGACCCCCCACCAGTGTGCCCTTCACACACACTACAGTGCTTCTGATGGCCATGAGTAGCAGCAAAGACGAGTATACAGTAGTAGGAGCACTTGGGTGAAAGAACTGAAGTCTGTCTCCTGGTGCCTGTGTGTGCTGTGTGTTTTCAACTACTAGGTTTGACTGAATGCAAGATGATAAAAAAAAAAACTCAATAGACCTCTGAAAAACGTGTCCCTCTCACTTCTGAGATGGTGATTATGACCTTAATATGCCTAAACGTCTATGAATAAAAGACAATGTAAAAACATAAACAAGCATAAAAGAGGGTTATTTAATCTAAAATTACTCAAAACAATATTCAAACCAAACACCATTAAAAAACTCAATAATATTTGTACATATTGTTAGTGCGAGCAAGCATATTAAAATAATGCATCAAGCTAATAATAAAAACTATAATAATAAAAAATCATTTCTAATGCAGGTAGTCTATGACTTTTTTAACGGGGGGTGGGGGGCGGGCCTTAGGGGTCCTCAATCATGGCTTGGGGGGCGCTGGTCCAAAAAAGTTTGAGAACCACTGGTCTAGACCTACTCTAATAGTTTCCCTTCCTAAACCTTTTCCTCACCAAAATCCCATTTAAGTTTATTATACTTCCGTTTTGTGCTTTAAAATACATTTTATATCTATTTTTAACCATACTTTTCCTTTACCTTATATAACATTTTACTCCCATTGTCAGTATAACTTAAAATAAATATTGATCAGTTTAAAAAATTCATTTTATTTAAAGGTTCATTTGCTAGTGCTTGCATATGTTCTAAGCCCTGAACTTCTTCAGGGAGATTGATTCTACACAACTTTGGGCATGAAAGTGTACGAGTTAAACCCTACGGGATGGGATGGAATGGGAAGGATTTTAATTAAATTTGTTTTACTGTCTTTTGGAAAACTAACAGAAATTAGGTAATCACAGAAAAAGCACATAATTTGACAATGTTTTTAAAAATCAATAGTTTGCAGGAGGTTCAGTTTCTTAAAAATAAAGACTAACCTTGAGACGAACTAAACAACTTCTTAGGTGTGGGGCTGCAGCGGGATTCTATTGGAGTTTCACTGTTATTTAACTCTTTTACTTCCTCCAGATTTGTTACCTGCAAAACAAACAAAACAAATTTCTTGGTATTTTTAATCTTTTATGAACTAGTATTTTTATTTGAATAGCAAAAGTGTTTCTAAAAATAATACAAGTAAAAAAAAGCTACATCATGTCATTTTTTGGAGCATGAATGGAGAGCCAGTAGCAGGCGGTTAAATTATTTATCCTTAATTCCAGAGTTAGATTTAGCTCCTCAAATCAATGGACATTATAATGATGGATTCCAAGTATTTGCAAATATGAAATTGTCTTTTTTACCAACTCCCTGAATTGTGACTTGACAACAAAACATGGAGTGCATATTCCAACCCCACCTAACGCACTACCCACCATTGTATGACTGTACAAATCTAAAAAAAATCTTAAAAAAGAAAATAATCTATCTATATAACATCACCTAATACATACCCCAGAGGTCAGTCTTCAAATTTAATAAAACTGTAAAAGAATTACTACTGACAAGCACAAAAATTAATAAACAGGTTTTCGATCTAGGTGGCCCATGATCCCGCTGGAAAATAAAAGATGCCAAATATTTTTCCACCGTTGAGATTTGATCAGGATTCTGGACAATTACAGGTGGCACAACAAATAACTAGAGTTCACTTAATAAGCCATCAGTACACCTTAACTTAGGTTTTTTGCCAACCTGTCTACTGAATTCAATTTTTTTCTGAGCAATGTTTGTCCAGAAACTAGAGAGAAAGGAATCCTCATTTGTAGATTACATTACACCACATAACACCCCAATAGAGGACTACCTGACTGAAACGGATCACGTTTTTTGCCAATGTACAGCTGCTGGATTAAAAGTCCCTTTTTTAATGTTTGGTGCTAAATGAAGGAGAATGTTCAACTCCTTGTGGGACAGAATTGTAGGAATTGCAAACAAAGCTTTAATAAACATTTCAGAGCTTCACAGTTTCTTAAGTGGATGTGCATTTCTTCTGGGCTAAAACATAAAATACTTAAATATAGGTTTGGTTCAGCCCCAAGCCTGATGTCTTCAAATTGTAACAAGAAATTTTACCTTAAGGTGGGATTCACAGCTTATTGTAAAAATGCTGGCCATCACCAAACATACAACCAACACAAAAGAGTCATACACAGACTGTGAGAAAGCACTACTAGCCACTGTGTGGGCAATCAAAAAAAGATTATTCATAAAATCAGAAGATGGGCTTGAAAGTTTTGTTTGTTTTAAAGAAGAAAAAAGATAATTTTCAAATACACACATAAAATACCACATCAAGGTGAAAATAAATATTATTTGTAATGCATCCAGGCCAGGTAGGCTAAATCTTTGTGACAAAGTCTCCTTACAAAAACTTTGTGAAAACAGGCTCAGACAAGAATGTTTGACACTGATTTTGCTGTGGTTAATAATTATACTTTGTGACAATGATGCTTCATGAAGGTACAAACTTTAAAAAAGTTTACTGAACACAAAATTTGACACCAATACATCATAATTTCTGTGTACCATGGATGATTTGTGAAGATCAGTGCTTTGGGGGACCGTGGAGGCGAACTGTGGAGAAGTCTGAGACAGAGCGGAAAAGACTCTGCAGGTGCTGGTAAGGTCTGGCAGACTTGTAAACGTTAGGAGTTTAAAATCCACTTCTGAAGTGTCCTGTTAGAGGCAGAACAAGATATATTCATGTAAGAACTGTATTTTCACATTGAATAATCTTTGTGAAATAAGGTTTGGTACATGTGTGCAAAAATAAGTCATGTTTATTTCTACATTGGATATCTCCACATCAAAAAGCTATTTGACAAGAAAGCTACAGGTTACTGATGTTCTGCAAAACTACTACAATCAATTAGCCTGGTAAAAACCAGACCCTGTCCTTCACTTTGTTTCATACGAGGGTCTGGACTCTCAGCTATAGAGAAGCGATTCTTGCTGGAGGCGTGGCCTCTGGTGAAGTTTGAAACGATTGGATTGTTTGGCCGCAACATATGTAAACGCAAGCTCCACTGTGAAGGAGGCTAAGCTAAAAAGCTAACCGGAAATCGCGTGCGCTGTAAACAACTGAGAGGAGAGAAGTACTGAGCTGAATGAGATGGCTGTAAATGATGCTGCAGGGTTTGTCAGACAAATTTATTTTTATTTGGAAGCCTTATCAACACGGACTGGCTTCATTCACTTCCTCCACTGCCATTGCTAACCTAACTAGCAGACACTGCGCAGAAAATCGACACCGTTTAAAACTCCACCTTCTGTTGGCTGATTGGCCCAGGTAAATTAAACTACAAGCAGACACTGTGCAGAAAATCAACATTCTGTTCTCTGATTGGCCCAAATGAAATGCTCCCGATGAAATCCTTGTCTATGGGAGAAATCCCAGAAGGAGCAGTGAAGGGAAACTAGAATTGAGCGGAACTGCATAGGAAGGCAAGGGCCAGGCTAACAATCAATAAACCCTTCATGCTTTTATCTTATTGCTGTGCGTGATAACATGTTTTGGATTTCTGAAAAAAATGGGGAAACAAAAAGAAGTTTAAAAAATCTGAACTGAAGTTACTTCAATGTCATTTAAGCAAATGGAGCAAGATGAGTCTCAAAAAGTTCAAACTTGCACAGACCAATTCATGCATGCAGAAAAAGGTTCACACATGCACGTTTCACATGTGCACAGGAAGTTTGGCAGTGCACAAAAGAATTCATACATGCAGAGGACAAGATTAACACATGCACAGAACCAGACTCATACGTGCATAGAATGGATTCAAACATGTATTTCTAATGTGCACACAGATATATTTTTATTTACAAAGTGCTGGTGCTGTGTGACTTTCACTGCATTTGTGTGTGAATTTTGAGTCTCCCCTGACTTGGCTCAACCCACACGTGCCTTTTTTTCAACAACAAATGATCTACAACCAATCACAAAGCTTCCTTGTATTCAGCCAGTCATGAGAACTTTCCCCACATGGGGGAGAATTTACTTATAAGACAATCACAATAATCATTCAAACACTGCAATATCCGTGTAAATTTGAAGCAGTAAACAGTTGAGAATATCATCATAGCTTCTGGCAATAACAGGGGAGTGGTAAGTGAAACATCTTAATACAGTATGTTTAGCTGTTTATGCCTTTGTTTTGAGAAGTTGTTTAGTTAATGTTTTAATTGCTTAATTAATTCAACTATCAACACAGGTTACGCTAGCAAGCTACGTTAGCATGTCTTCTGACTCAAGCATGCCACCAGAGGTGGCATACCCCTGAATTCTGCATCAGATGGGTTTACATCACGGTCAAATTATTAAAACATGGCCTGCAGATGACTCCTGTGTAGCCCGCCGGGGGGAGGGTACCTCCCAAATAATTTATTTTAACTTAACATGAAAATTGTTTCTTATATCAATGGCAAACTTTAAATTTATGATAAAATGCAACAAAATAAATTTAATAAAAATAAGTGAAATAAAAATAAATTTAATAAATTCCTGTCCCTGAGCTGTTGGCTTTAAGTAACTGAGCAATTTAGAAGGATAACACAGTATAAATGTCTGAAAATAAGCTGCTTTAAAGTCAGCATCAACCATAAACTAAATAATATTTCTGTATTTATTTCACATTTAGTCAGTTATACACTTAGTTCTTATCTATGTTTAAAAGAGCACATGTTAAAACACTGTTTTTTCATAGTTAAACATGAAACATCAAAGTTCATTACAAGTGGCGCTTCGAGGGCCACCATAACGCTCATGTGGCCCTTGGTGAAAATGAGTTTGACACCCCTGAGCTAAACATATTAAGATAGATGTTTCACTTACCACTCCCCTGTTGTTGCCAGAAGCCATGATGATATTCTCAACTGTTTACTGCTTCAAATTTARACGGATACTGCAGTGTTTGAATGATTATTGTGATTGTCTTATAAGTAAATCCTCTCCCACGTGGGGAAAGCTCTCATGATTGGCTGAATGCAAGGAAGCTTTGTGATTGGTTGTAGATCATTTGCTGTTGAAAAAAGGCATGTGTGGGTTGAGCCAAGTCAGGGGAGACTCAAAATTCACACACAAATGCAGTGAAGGTCACACAGCACCAGCACTTTGTAAATAAAAATATATCTGTGTGCACATTAGAAATACATGTTTGAATCTATTTCTGCATGTGCGAACTGTTCTATGCACAAATGAGTCTGGTCCTGTGCATGTATAAATTCTTTTGTGCACATGTGAAACTTTCTGTGCATGTGTGAATCTTCCTGTGCACGTGTCAAACATTTTGTTTAACGGTGAATTGTTCTGTGCACATGAGAACCGTTCTGTGCATGCATGAATTGTTCCGTGCACGTGTGAACATTTTATGACTCTTCTGGCTCCATACAAAACTGCTACAGACACTACTATTAGTAGTATGCAGATTTTACTATGTGTGACTTATTTTTGTTGGTTTTATTTACATATAGACAGTTAATTCAACAGATTTGACAGAAAGTTTAAGTTTTTTCAAATAATGGGCTTTTTTTTTAGCATGTTTCATGCCCATCCTATAATCATGATCATACATTATACTTCATTTTCACATTATAATTTAATCTTTCGGATGTTAAAGAACTTGGTGTATCTGACCACCAAAACATTAGTTTCTCTATGCTGCTGTCTCCTGCAGTTCTACCAGTTTTTAATCCACCATTAAAGTCTATGACAGAACTTTTCTAATGTAGTAGCTTTGTCATTGTTCATCAATAAACAGCCGCCATCCATCTTGAATGCGCATGGATAACCTTGTTGCTAAAATCAATCCAATTCAATTCAAAACTAATTTATTGATCCCAGAGGGAAATTAAGTGTTGTAACACATATAACTAAAGAGTTATTGTAGATCAGGGGTGTCCAACCAGTCGCTTGCGGGTGACTCGTCGCCCGCCAGCTGATTCCCAGGTGCCCGTGCAGCGCAACCTTGCTACGGAGTCTTTCGTACCGGCTTTGCGCGTTGCATCCCGGACTGGCTGGTCTTGTTTGAAAGCTCTGGTTCTGCCCTACAAGCTGAGAGTTGAATGAAGTCCCTGCAACGTTACCCCGAGGAGCAATAAGCAACAAACCTCCAAAATACGCACCGTTGGACCTCCTGCTGGGGGTGGTTTTAGCCCCTCTCCCCGGGCTAGGAGCGTCGGAACTCGGGGCGGATGGTCAAGATTTAAAGCCCTGGCTCTCCCCTACAAGAAAAAAGTTGAGTGGAGTCCCTGCGATGTTCCCCCGCAGAGATATAAACAAAACACCTCCAAAATTACGCATTGTCGGACCTCCACCTAGGGTGGTTGTAGCCCCCCTCCCCGGGCTAGGAGCATCGGATCCCGGAGTGGCTGGTCGGGTTTTAAAGCTCTTGTTCTGTCCTACAAGCTGATACTTGAATGGAGTCTCTATGACATTGCCCCACGGAGCTATAAGCAAATTACACACAACTTAGTGCATTTTACGCGCATTTTAAAGAGGAAATTTCAACCGTCATTTGCTTCACCCGCGAGCTCTCACCATTGGATCCGAGAAAGTGAGATGACTTTGGAAAGCTACGGTCCTCCTCTACAAACTGGAAGTGGTTGAAAGTTCCTGGGATGTTCTCCCGCAGAGCTATTAACTGAAAAAGGCGTTTTGGCGGGCGATATAGTACTCAATTTACTCCGGAGCCTCTAGCGCCGGCTCTGAGCGTCGGATCCGGGCGGGAGATGGCTCGTTTTAAAGTTCTGGATCTCCGCTACAACGTCGGATCCGGGCGGGAGATGGCTCGTTTTAAAGTTCTGGATCTCCGCTACAACCTGGAGTTGGTTGCAAGTTCCTGGGACGTTCCCACATGGGGATATAAGTGGTCAAAAGCCGTCGGGCGAGCTCCGGCAGTTGAAAAGGCTGATTTTCAGCACAGGGCCACTTGTGCTGATGCAGGGAAATAAAAGGAAGAGATCCAGTGAGGTGGAACCGCGGTCATGCGTCCAGCACCCGCTCTCCTGCCTGGATTTAGCCAGAAACCCCTGGCGGGTGATATTTCTGCAATAATGCATAAAATTCAGAAACCCACCTGATGGATCACTTCCAGACAATAAGAGGAACAGATCTGATCGGTGAAACTGGTCCTGGAAGCTCAGCACCGGGTTTTATAACAGCCTGCCCCCTGAACCACTGGTGGGCGATATTTCTGCAATAATGCATAAAATTCAGAAWCCCACCTGATGGATCTGTTCCAGGCAATAAAAGGAACAGATCTGATCAGGTGAAACCGGTCCTGGAAGCTCAGCACCGGGTTTTATAGCCGCCTGCGAGAGAGTTTTATATTGTGTGCTTTGACTTTGAGAAAAAAGGGCGGCACTCTTGTGGTAGCCATGTTAACCCTGATAGATTTTTGTTTTGTTTTTCCTCCCCTGTATGGAGAAAAGAAAGGAGAGTTCTTTGAATAAATGTAGCTGAGTTCCCGTGCTCCAAAGTTATTTGACTCTGGTTCTCACTGGGCACGTTTTCAGCCCTCACAGCTCGCACGTTACAGGGAGTACTAATTGAAGGAGATAAAAAACATTATCCTTTTTGTTCGAGCATCACTTTTCTGTTTCTCTGTCAGGAGTTAAATAAGGATTTTATCTTTTCTTTTTTAGGTAAATATATGGTTAAGTAGATCGTTTTGTTTGACAATACTTTAAATTAAATAAAACTAGCAACACATTACGTTCTGTTTTCTTTCCTTTAAAGAAGTGAGGTGTAGGGAGATGAAAAATTATGTTTTTGATACTGAGAATGGATGAGTAGATCTCGGCAAACTGCCAAACTTCAAAAGTAGCTCTTGGTTCAAAAAAGGTTGGGCACCCTTGTAATGTAGATGCTGAATTGTGTTTAACGCACTGGAGAAATCAAAGAACATGATCCTCACAGTGCTGCCTGCTTTGTCCAGATGACATTGGGTTTGTTGAAGCAGGTGTATGAGGGCGTCTTCAACTCCAACTCCACGGCGATAAGCAAACTGCAGGGAGTCCTGATGTGTGCTTGTTTGCTTACTCAGGTGGGTCAACAGGAGTCTCTCTAGGGCCTTCATGACGTGGGATGTCAGGGCAACAGGTCTATAGTCATTGAGGGCTGATGGGTGAGTTTTCTTTGGTACTGGAACCAGACAGGATGTCTTCCACAACACTGGAACCGTCTCCTGGGTCAAGCTAAGGTTGAAGAGGTGTTGCAGAATCCCACAGAGCTGATCTGCACAGGCCTTCAGGACACCATCTGGACCTGCAGCCTTGTTCTGGTTCAGTCTCTCTAGCTGCTTCTTCATCTGACTTCTAGACACAGAAAAGTGGGAGGAGGAAGTAGAGGGAGCAGCATCTCCTAATTTGGTTAAAGACAAACGTGGAAGTAGAAGAATGAGGTTGAAGATAAAACATCTGAGGTTTGACAGGAAAGCTGTGGTTCAAAGGAGGGTGGGTTGTCTGTTTGGCTGGAGGCAGGAGCGGAGGAAGATCAATTCAACCTTTTAAAATATACAGGGGAATCTCTGAAAGCTTGTATTTCTGCATAGGCTCTTGACAATAAACTAGACGAACTCAAGGCCAAGATCAAGTTCCTGATGGACACTTGTGACTGCTACATCTTGTGTTTCACTGAAAAACAGCTGACCACGGCAGCCGAGTTTTTCTCGGTACACCACATTGACAGAACAATAGTCTCTGGGAAGTCATGGGGCAGAGGAGTGCGTCAGATGGTCAATAATAAGTGGTGTACCAATGTTGTTCCACTAAGGCACTTCTTCTCACCCGACCTGGAACTTTTAACCATCAAGAGACGTGCTGTCCCTTCAACCTGCCTCTGGAATTTACCTCAGTGATCTTAATTGTGCGAACTCCACGAGACTCTTGCTAGGTACCAAGCTCCGCACAAAGACTTTGTTTTTGTTGTGGCAGGCAACTTCAACAGCACCTACCTGAGACAACCCATGCCAGAATCTTACCAGAACATAAATTGTCCAACCAGGACAGGTAAGACAATGGACCACTGTTACACCACAAAGAAAGACAGCTATAAATCACAGGCACGGCCAGTGTTTGGAAAATCTGACCATGCTGCCATCATTCTCATACCAAAATACAAACAAATACTCAGGTCAAGCTCTGAGATGTGGTTGTGGGACTCATCAGGAAATTAATATATGACATGGTTCAAAAGACGACCATCTTTAAATTTTCCAATGAGAAACCATGGATGGACAAAAATATCTGCAACACTCAGAAGTCCCGCACTGCTGCCTACAATGCTGCACTCATGGGCAGAGACATGAGTGAATACAAGTCCACGTCACACAATGTGCAGAGTAGTGGAAGATGTTAAACAATAGTATGGAAGGAAATTAGAGACACAGCTCCAACATTGCAGTTCTAGTGACCTGTAGTGTGGACCACCACCATTGATGATAACAGATAACAGGTGAGTTGAATACATTCTATGCCTGCTTTGAGTCTGCAGCCGGGGTGTGTTGATGGAGGAGGTGGTGCTGTGGCTGTCAGTAGCCCTGGTAGTAGTGATGATGTTGATGGCACAGCTGGTGCTAACTCCACACAGACAGATGGCATAGTAGTGGTGGTTCACTCACACCTGCTGGGACAGGTAATGAGCTCATCATCACAGAGCACGATGTAAGAAGGATCTTCACCTACTACACCTGAGTTTTTACCTCACCAACCAACCGAGCCGCAATGCACTTGGATTCCCAGTACCCATCTGCTGCTTCTGGAGCCCCGCAGGCCAAAATGACCAGATAGACCTCCTTCTTCAGCCTGACAGCATCCCTCACAACTGGTGTCCAACAGTGGTCTGTCGTACAGCGGATCTGAAGAAGCTTTGACTGAAGACACTCTGTTGTAATGTGATAGTATGATGAAGAGGATGACCACTGTGATCGCTGTTCGGAGATGATGGAGTCAGGGATATAATCCTGCAGCCATGTCTCAGTGAAACACATAATACTGCATTCCTGATATCTGGCTGGGTTCCTGTCAGGGTTCAGAGTTCATCCAACTTGTTTCCCAGCAATCTCCCATTGCCCACTGTGGTCAATGGAAGAGATGATTTGAACTTCCTCCTGCTCTCTCTCCTCTTTGCTCCTGCTCTGAATCCATGGCACCTCCTTTTTAACTCACCTGGGATCCAGGGCTGTATTTGGGCCTGTAGTTAAGGCTGTAGTTCAGGTATTATTTGAGCTTTTGAGATATTAATCAGCTGCTCCCGGTTATAACAAATCTCCATGTTGCTATGGTTACGCATCATAACAAATGTCCAAAACCAAAATAGGTATTAGCAAAAATCCTTCCAGCTGCACAGCATCTAACAGCAGAGGGCATGGTCATCTAAAAAAAGCAATTTTTATCCAGAAAAAGAGTAATTTTAAAATGTTTTAAAATAGTACCTCAGAATGAATATAACAGAGATACTCCAACATGCTGTCATCTTGAGCAGCAAAATTGTAGAACTTAGTAAAGTGTCAATAATTCGAGGCCAAGAATTGATCAAAACAGCTTCAACTCTGTGAATTCGCCACATAGGGTGGTTTGTCTAAAATTCTGGCATAAATAGCTTGTAATTGTCTTTGGTATTAACTTTTTTTGAGTAATTTGCCCTTTTGGCATTATTTACTCAGCTTTCTGCTTATTTATTTTTGTAGTTTTATTTTTAATGTTTGACTTGTTTAAGATTTTATTACACATTATTGGTCAACGATGCTTGTTTGTAGATGTGCTTTTTATATCAATAAAATACATTTGATTGTTAAAATTAAAATATTTGGCTAGTTTGACTGTAATGAAGTCAACGTTTAACACAATCTGCTGGTTTCCTTACATTGACTGTTTTTATTTTTTGATTTTGTTTTGTTTTTTATAAAGTGCCATGAGATGACGTTTGTTGTGACTTGGCGCTATATAAACTCAACTGAATTGAATAGTTTGTGCAATTCATTATTTTGCAACCTCCATGCCATTAGTGAAACATGGGAAATTTACTTATGTGTGCGTGGATTTACCTGGCTGGACACTACCAGCTGGACCAAACCAGTAGTGGACCGAAGAATAGCTACAGCCTCCTGGTGTTTGAGACCCACTAGTGACTGACCATTAACCATCAGCAATTCATCACCAACATGAAGGCGTCCATCCCTGAAACACCAAAATATACACAGTATAGACTGTATGCACAAACATAAAAATACAAACACACACACACACACACACACACACACACACACACACACACAGTTCAATTCTGTACCACAGTTAAATAA